ATTATCCATTTTACATCCCATGATTCTCTCAATCTCTTGCTTGGTCATAAACTCTTCCTTTATCCATAGACCTGACATTTTTCTATGCTTTTTCAATTTACTTATGATATTACCATTTAGGTCTAAATCATTTCTCTATTTTGACCTTATCTTGATATATGATATGAGATATTAATCTATGCCTAGTTTCTTCCAAACTTCTAGTTTTCCCAACAATTTTTGTCAAATGGTGAATTCTTACCCCAAAACTTGGATCTTTGAGTTTTTCAAACACTAGATTACTATAGTTATTTACTACTGTGTATGGGGTACCTACCCTATTTTACTGATCCACCACTCTGTTTCTTAGCCAGTAGCAGATTATTTTGATGATTAACACTTTGTAATGTAGTTTGAAATCTGGTGCTGCTAGGCTGCCTTCCTTCACATTTTTTTTTTCATCGGTTTCTTTGATATTCTTGACCTTTTATTCTTCCAGTTGAATTTTATTACTTTTTTCTAGCTCTGTGAAGTAATTCTTTGGAAGTTTGGTTGGTATAGCACCGAATAATTAACTTAGGTAGAATTGTCATTTTTATTCCTTTGGCTCAGCTTACCCATGAACAATTAATATTTCTCCAGTTGTTTATATATGTCTTTGTATGAAGAGTGTTTTGTAATTGTGATCACATAATTCCTGGATTTATCTTGGTAGGTGGGTACCCAAGTATTTTATAATATCTGCAGTTATTTTAAATGGAATTTTTCTTTCTGTCTCTTCCTGTTGGGTTGTGTTGGTAACATATAGAACTTCTGATGCTTTATGAGGATTTATTTTATATCCTACAACTTTGCTAATGTTGTTAATTGTTTCAAATAGTTTTGTAGTTGATTTTCTAGGGCTCTCTAAGTATACTGTTATATCATCTGCAAAGAGTGATAGTTTTGTTTCCTCATTGCCTATTTTTGTTCTTCTGGTTCTTTTTCTTGTCTTATTGCTAAGCTAACATTCCTTCTTTCTCTCTTATTTTATTCTCAATTACATGTAAAAATTTTTTAAACATTCTTTTTTAAAAAAATTTAGTTCCAAATTTTATCCCTCCTTCCTTCCCCTTGCTCCTCCTTGAGAAGGCAAGCAATTTAATATAGGTTATACATGTGAAGTCATGCAAAGCATATTTCCATATTAGCCATGTTGCAAAAGAAAACACAGACCAAAAAACCCCCCCACAAAAAAATACAGTAAAAAATAGTATGCTTTGATCTGCATTCATACTTTATCAGTTCTTTCCCAGGAGTTAGATAGCTTTTTTCATCATAGTAGTAGTTCTTGAGTCATTTTTCAGTTGTGTCCAACTCTTTGTGACTCCATTTGGGGTTTTCTTGGCAGAGATACTAGAGTGGTTTTCCATTTCCTTCTCCAACTCATTTCATAGATGAGGAAATTGAGGCAAACAGGGTTAAGTGACTCACCCAGGGTCACACAGGGAGTAAATGTTTAAGGCCGGATTTGAACTCATGAGGATGAGTCTTTCTGACTTCCTGAGTCATGGCATACTCTATCCATTGCACCACCTACCTGCCCATTTTTCATCATAAATCCTTCAGAATTGTCTTAGATCATTGTATTGATCAGAATAGCTAAGTCATTCACAGTTGATCATTGTACAATATTGCTGTTACCGTGTACAATGTTCTCCTTTGGGCCATCAATACCATTGCTAGGTCTGCATCCCAAAGAGACAAAAAAAGGGGAGGGAGCTATATGTACATGGAATTATGTATGTATGTGGAATTTGGCTATAATATTCCTGGGAGTTTTAATTTTTGGGTGTACTTCAGGAAGTGATCAATAGATTCTTTCAATTTCTATTTTACCCTCTGGTTCCAGGATATAGGGGCAGTTTTCCTTTATAATTTCTTGAAATATGGCGTCTAGGCTCTTTCTTTGATAATGGCTTTCAGGTAGTCCAATACTTCTTGAGTTATCTCTCCTTGATCTATTTTCCAAGTCAATTTTTCCAATGGGATATTTCACATTTTCATCTATTTTTTCATTCTTTTGACTTCATTTCATTTTTTAAAATGTCTTTGAGGTCATTAGCTCCCACTTCCCCAATTCTAACTTTATTTTTTTATTTTTTTTTTTTTTAGGCAATTGGGGTTAAGTGACTTGCCCACAGTCACACAGCTAGTACGTGTCAAGTGTTTGGTCTGAGGCCGGATTTGAACTCAGTTCCTCCTGACTTCAGGGCTGGTGCTCTGTCCACTGCACCACCTAGCTTCCCCCCCCCCATTCTAACTTTAAAGAAATTATTTTCTTCAGTAAATTTTTGTACCTCTTTTCCCCATTTGGCCAATTCTCTTTTTTAGGATATTATATCATCAGTATTTCTTGTGCCTCTTTTACCAAGCAGTTAGCTGTTTTTTTCCCCCATAATTTTCTTCCTTTGCTCTCATTTCTTTACCTATTTTTCTACTACTTTTGATTTTGAAAATACTTTTTTTTGTTTGCTTTCCAGGAATTTTTGTTCAGCTTGTGTCTAATGTACATTTTTCTTTGAGGCTTAGCTGTTTTGACTTCATTGTCTTCTTCTGAATTTGTGTCTTGATCTTCCCTGTCTCCACAGTAGCTTTTTGTGGTCAAGCTCTTTATTTTTTGTTCATTTTTTAATCTGTTTCTTGATTGTCAACTTTATGTTAAAATTGGTTTCTGTTCCCAGCATGGAGTAATGGGAGGGACAGTGTCCCAAGCTTCAGGCTTTTTTTGCACCACAGCTTTTAAAACTAGTTCTGGGGGTTTGGAAGTTTTTAGTGCTTCCAAAGTGATGTGATCAGGGGAGAGGTGTGGTTACTGCTCTCTTGGTCTGTGTGCTGATCCTTACTCAGGAAAGACTCCTGCTCCCTTGGGAGCAGAAATGATACTACTCCTAAGAGCCCTTGCTCCTCTTGACTGAAAACACTCCTTTTCGCCCTTGAACTATGACCTAGAAGTGAGTATAGGGAATGGATTTGCCAAATAGCATCTGGGTCTGGGTCCAATGCTAGCACAAGGGTCCCCTGTAATCTCTTCCTGACTAGGTATCATCTCTGGCTTGAGAGCCCCCGAAGCTGCTGCTGCATCTGTTGCTACCCCCTAGTAACACTACTGGGCATGGGGCCAACCTCCACTCCTTGTATTACAGATGTCTCCTTCCAGCCTCCTCGCCTTGGGCTGGAAGACTGTCTCACCCTGACCTTTTGTTTGGCTCTGCCACTCCAGAAATCAATTTGGAGAATTATTTTAAAGTTGTTTGGAGGGGAGTGTTGGAGAGCTCAACTGCTTCTACTCCATCATCTTGGCTCCACCCCTGGAAGTCTAAAATCAATACATTTTGTAGACTTAAATTAACATTCTGACGATACCTGTCCTGGGTGAAATAAATGGGGGACATGAAAAATTTGTCTTATTTGTTTTTTTTGTTTTCCTTTTTGGTGAGGCAGTCAGGGTTAAGTGACTTGCCCAGGGTCACACAGCTAGTAAGTGTAAAATATCTGAGGCCAGATTTGAACTCAGGCCCTCCTGACTCCAAGGCCAGACAGAGCTCTATCTGCTGCACCACCTAGCTTCCCCTTATTTTTAAATTAACAAAATTTTACTTTCCCCTCCTCTTCTCAGTTACAAAAAAAGAGAGAAAAACCCCATGAAACTGCTTTGACAAATATGTATAGATAAGCAAAACAAATGCCAGCATTGGCCATGTCATTCATTCACATACACATATATGTATATATGTATACATACATACATGTGTATATATGTATATGTATATATGTATACACACATACATATGTGTGTGTGTATACATATATATATATATATACACATACACACACACACACACACACACACAACTTTGAACCTTGAGTTCATCACTTCTCTGCCAGGAGGTGAGTATCATGCTTAATATTCAGCTCTCTGGCATTATAATAGGTCCCTGCATTGATCTGAGTTATTAAATCTTTCAGAGCTGTTTGTTTGTCTTTGAAATGCTGATGTTATTGTGTTATTAATTGTCCTGGTTTTGGTCACTTAACTCTATCAGTTCATACAAGTCTTTCCAGGCTTCTCTGAAACCATGCCCTTCATCATTTCTTACAGCACAACAGTAGCCTATTACGTACCACAATTCCTTCAACCATTCCTCAGTTTTTGGGCAGACCCTACCTCCCCTTTCTAATTCTTCGGAACAATCAGTTTTTGAAGGAACACATCGGGTTGGCTAACCTTCACAAAGGAAATATCCTGTTTCCGTCTATGCTGGTTAGGCTACATCTGACATATTTTGTTCAGTTGTGGATACCTAGTTTTAAGGAGGAAGACAATCAGGTTTGTGAAGGATATTAAAATCATTGAATGAGAGTCAGCTGAAGAAACTGGGAATGTTTAGACTGGAGGAGGAGACTTAGGTGGGGAAATGATAGTTGTCTTCAATATTTGCAGGGCTTTTGTGCAAGAATGTTCTGTTGGCCTCAGAAGGCAGAATTCATACCAGTTGTAATAATAACGGACATTTATAGAACTCTCTGTAATTATTATCTCCTGTAAGCCTGACAACAACCCTGGGTGATAGGTGCTACATATACTATTATCCTCATTTTACAAATGAAGAAACTGAGGCACAGGTAAGTTGCATGACTTGTCAGCGGCCTCACAAAAAGTATCAGAGGAAGGATTTGCCCCTGTATCTTCCTGATTCCAAGTTCAAACATCAAGCTATTTTTCCGTGTTTCCTTTTAGTGCTTAGAAGTTGTGAGAAGGCAGATTTAGCTTGATTGAAGGAAGAACTTCCTAACAAGTAAAGCTTTTAAAAAGTGGAATGGGAGTAAAGCCTTGCCTCCCCCTCACTAGAGGTTGTAAAGGAAATGCAGAACGATAACTTATCGGGGAGAGGGGATTCTGAATCAGTCATGAGTTAGCCTCATTGCTCTGTTAGGTTCCTGCAGAGATTTTCTGATTTTGGGTTTTTGTGTCGTTCCAGGAGGTGTTGCTTGTAAACAGCTAAATTTTCGGGCATGCCATTGAAGCTCTGGCCATATAAGGCCGTTGGTCATTCACTGCTGGAAGTAGCACTCTCAGAGGCCCTTCTCCATGGAGTGTTTCAAAATAAGAAAGTGAGTATGCTAGACATTGGTCTATTAACTAAATTAGATAACTTCATGTTGGGTACCTGAATATTGTAAAATGTCTTCCCATCTTATTAGCAGTCCCGTCTCTGGAATGTTTTGGATACATAAAATCATAACAAATATAACCACCCTATACCATAGCAATATGGTACTTATAGTATTTCAGTAAAAAAAACAAAGCAAATAAACAAAAAACAACAACAAACCAAACTGATAGGCTTACTTGAAACAAAGCTAGTCGCTAATGGTAACAGCTCTTTAAGCAAGAAAATATAGATAATCTAATCCTAAGATATGACCAGTGCCACTAAGCTAAACTTAAACCTTTTTGATGGTAGGAAGAGTTTAACACAAAAGTGGTAATGTCACCAGCTTGATATAAGGGGTGGGACAGTGGGTAGAACTCTGGGCTTAAAGTTAAGGAAGACCCGAATTCAAATCCAGCATCAGACACACTCACTAGTTATGTGACCCCAGGCAAGTCATTTAAATGCTTTCTGCCTCAGTTTCATCATCTGTAAAATGGACATAGTAATACAAAACTTCTCAGGGTTATTGTGAGGAGAGAATGAGGTAATACTTGTAAAGCACTTAGCAGACCTTAGAGCACTATAGAAGATACCATTAAGATAATTGTGAATATGCTGGGAGCCACATATTTCACATACAAATATGTAGGATAACTGTTCACATGTATATATATATATGCATGTATGTACATCTATACAAGATGTCCTCCAATGTCTTCAAGGTCTTCTAGTTATTAATGTCTTGTAATTTCACTAAGACTTTTAGGCACACTCTATATATCTACTTATATATCTTCTCTCTCTCTCTCTCTCTCTCTCTCTCTCTCTCTCTCTCTCTCTCTCTCTGTATCTGTCTCCCTTTCTCTCTGTCTCTCATTCACACACACACACACACACACACACACACACACCCCATCTATTGAATACACATTGAGTCACACTCTCTCTTGTGCCTTTATACCCACATGTCTACACATTTTGTCATTCTTTCCACAAAGCCCCACCTCTCTTCTGACTCACTCAGCCTTGCCGATAACACTGGAAACCGCTGCTATTGTAAATTCTGCTACGCTTGCTCTGATTTGGGAGGGAATTTAAGCTTTTGGAGAGGGAGAGTTGGGTCAGAAGCAGTAAGATGACGCGGTGGGTTAGGATCAGTGTTCATGTTCTTTGGACAAGTGTAACCACCAGTCAGTCAGTAGCCATTTATTAAGCAACTACTATGTGCCAGGAGCTGTGCTAAGTAGGCATGGTGGTATTAAAAAAAAAAGGCAAAAGACAGTCCCTGCCTCCAGTGAGCTCATAATCTAACGAGGAAGACAACAAGGGAGAAATTATGTACAAACAAGCTATGTGCAGGATGAATAGGTAATAATTAACAGAGGGAAGGCACCCGAATTAAGAGGGGCTGGGAAAGCCTTTTTGTAGAAAGTGAGGTTTCATTTGGGACTCAAAGGAAGCCGGGGAAGCCAGGAGGTGGAGACGAGGGAGGGCATTCCAGGCATGTGGGACAGCCAGAGAAAATGCCCAAATCTGAGACCGATGAAGTGTCTTGTTTGTGGAAGAGCAAGGAGGCCAGTGTCACTGGATTGAAGAGCATGTGACAGGGATAAGATGTAAGAAGACTGGAACAGGAGAAGGGGAATATGGTATGAAGGGCTTTGGACATGAAATGGAGGATTTTGTATTCGATCCTAAGCCACTGGAGTTTATTGAGTAGGCAGTGCCATGGTCAGACCTGCTCTTTAGAAAAACCACCTTGGTGGCTGAATGGAGGATGGATTGGAGTGGGGAGAGACTTAGGGCAGGCAGAGGCACCAGCAGGCTAGTGCAGGAACCAAGGTGCGAGGTGATGAGGGCCGGCACCAGAGTGGTAACAGTGTCAGAGGAGAGAAGGCAGCTGCTCAGCCATCAGTAGGGGAGAGGGGTAAGAGAGATACCCTACAGGCTTAGGTCACAGTGTGTATCGCTAACAGCTAATTCTTTCATATCATGGCCGAGAGTGGTAATGGAGATGGACTGCTTCTTCCTGTCCCCCACCCATGAACTCTCTAGGAAACCTGCTCTCCTGAGAATGCAATGGAAAATGGACACTGATATTTGGCATCCATCTGCCAGATGCTGATGTCATGTATAATAGGTTCAGGACCAGGAACAGGAGGCCAAGTCATGAACAGGGTGTATGGAAAAATGGAATTGATAGTGGTCCACTAGATTAAGGGAGAAGGTGTTTTATTTCTGTGTCATCAGTCAACATGCAGTCAGTGATTATTTCATGGATGGTTATTATTTACATGGTAGTAAATTATATATATATATGTATGTATTTATATATATATAAACATACATATGTACTTACATACACATTGTCACTTCTCAATTGCCTTTATTTGCAGGTTGCATGTGTCTTTTTTCTTTTAATGAACAGAAATTAACTTTGTTCTCCTGAGCTCATCCTCAGCCAGACATCTGTTACATGCTTAGTGAAGACCATCTCTATTTTAATGTCAGCCAAAGACAAAAGTAAATAAGAAGGTTCTGTTAAAGTCATGTCATGGATTACAGAGCCAAACATACATGACTTTGGGGTCATCCAGTTGTTTTGGATCAGATGCCTTCCATTAATGCACATCATGGGGATCGTTGACATAGAGCCCAAAGGGCCATCTACTCCAGCTCTGTCATTTTACAGACCAGGAAACGAAGGCCCAGAGTGGCCTTGAATGACTTGTTCAAGATCACATAGGTATTAAGGATTTGAAGCCAGGACCACTGATGTAGAGCCAGAATTCCTTCCACCGTACTTCTCTGCCTCCCTAATGATCCATGGAAAGCTTTTCATTCCATACTGACTGCCCACTGCCGGCCAGCAGGGTTCTGGCAGCCCTTCACAATTATTGCTTGGTGTATGCTCAGAAATACAAATGCATTGTTATATTTGCCTAAGCAAGACATAATTAAAAGCTAAATCTGCTGCCAAAATAAATCGAATATCCCAAGGCCAGATAGAAATTGCTTTGTTCCACTCTTTCCCCCCATCTCACATCTGTACCATTCTACTACTAAAAGATGATTGGGAGTTGACTATCTGTTTGAATTTGTGCACATAACCATGTATCCAAGGTCAGTAATGATAATGGAGGACCAATAGGGAACATTTTTATTTTATTCATTTTTTTTAATATGTATAGTTTAAGGCTGCCGAACTAGAAGAAGATCTTAGGATCTAAAGCTGGAAGGAACCTTGAGTATCATCTAGTTCAGCCCTCTCTTTTTATAGAAAAATGAAACTAAGAACCAGAAATATTCAATAATTTTACTGCCGCCCTACAGTACCAAGACTTACACATAGGTCTGTGTTCTTTTGACTGTGACACGCTACCTATCTTCTGTGCGTGGCTAAGCTATAACTACTTAGGAGAGGATAAGGGTAGACTTCTGATTTCTTTGGGATAGGGAAATTTGATTTTCCTATTTTTATTTTTATAAATAAATATTTATTATAAATGAATATTTATTTATTATCCCTTAAATGTTTTATTGGGGCATCTAGGTGGTACAGTAGATAGAGCACTAGGCCTGGAGTCAGAAAGACCAGCGTTCAAATGTGACCTTAGACACTTACTAGCTGTGTGACCCTGGCCAAGTCACTTAACTCACCCAACCTGCGTAAGACTGGAGAAGAAAATGGCAAACCACTCTAGTATCTTTGCCAAAAAACATCCCATGGACAGTTGGTCCACAGGGTTGTGAAGAGTTGGACATGACTGAACAACAGCAGCAAATATGTTTTATATTGGGAGGAGAAAAATCCTTCTGTCAATTCAGATCAACACCTTCTCTATAATTTATAATAATGGAGGGGTGCCTGGGACAATGAGAGGCTCAGCAACCTGTTTAGGGTTGGTCATAGCCTGTGTGGGACAAGAGGCAACACTTGAATCCAGGTCTTCCTGATTCTGAGACCAACTCTGTAGCTACCACTCCACCCTTATACATATGTGTGTGTATGTATGTGTATGTATTTTTTCCCTTCTTAAAAACGAAACTACTAGAGTATCTTCTTTGCCAGCCTCTGGTTCTCAAAACTTAGGCTGTCCTTGTTTATAGTAGGGCCATCTTGCTCCATTCTTGACTAGGTGAATGAGTATGCAGCCATTTAGGTATTTAAGAATGTTCCATCGAGTGTCAGAGCAGAAAGAAAAAAAGATTTTCAGCTGAATGCCTCATTACTTTGCGTTGGTATAGAAAGAACCATCTGCTCTGTACAATTTTCTGGCCCTTGGTCTTCACCTCCATCCCATACTGTCGTTGTTCAGTCGTTTTCAGTCGTGTCCAGTTCTTTGTGACCCCATTTGGGGTTTTCTTGGCAAAGATACTGGAGTATTTTGCCATTTCTTTCTCCAGTTCATGTACAAATGAGGAAACTGAGGCAAACACGGTGAAGTGACTTGCACAGGGTCACACAGCTAGTAAGTGTCTGAGGTCAGATTTGAACTCATGTCTTTCTGATTCTAGGCCCAGTGCTCTATCCACTGCTCCACCTTGCTAGCTTTCCTTTTCTTCCTAGCACCCTTTAAATTTCTCTAAGCATTACCTGAAAGAGTAATCTTTTGTGAGCTGTCAGGCTCCCTAAGAGACTACTTGGATCACAATCAAACACTTAATTTAAGCTCCTACTGTGTGTACTTCTGGCTCTTGAGTTACTGAAATCATTCCAAGTAAATTGTGTCTTTGACTCAAGTCCCTTGACATTTTTTAATGAAACCAGAGGTTTTTTTTTTAAAAACTTTCTGGGACAGTTTCCTCTATTGTCTCTCTCTTCTTTATTTATTGCTGTACGGCATAATCAGCATTAACTATTTCATCCACCGGCGTGTCATCATTGATTGGAAGGCCCACGAGCTGCCTCCGAAGAGAGCTTTTCAAATGTAGCCCTTTGCTGTCCTGGGGCCGGGGATGTGTTGCACACTGAACAAGTTTAGTGTTTGATGGAAATTACTTCTCTGTATCAAGCCTAGAAAGCATCCTTTTAAGCACTTTGTTGTTATTATTGTAAAGTCGTTTTTTAGTCATGTCTTTGTGACGCCATTTAGGGTTTTCTTTGGCAAAGATACTGAAGTGGTTTGCCATTTCCTTTTCCAGCTCATTTTACAGATGAGGAAACTGAAGCAAACAGGGTTAAGAGACTTGACCAGGGTCACACAGCTAGTAAGTGTCTCAAGCCAGATTTGGCCGCAGGAGGATGAGTCTTCCTGCCTCTAGGCCCAGCACTCTATCTGTGCCACCTAGCTGCCCCTTTAAGTAAATACATTTAATAAATTGAAGCACTTACTTTGTATGTAAACTTAAAAAACCTCCAAATTTCTTTGTTTATATATATCTGTATGTATATATATATACACATATATATGCATACACACACACACACATACAAACACGCACACACACACACACACATATATATATTTTGGCTAGGCAATGGGGTTAAGTGACTTGCCCAGGGTCACGTAGCTAGTAAGTATTGTGTGTCTGAGGTCATATTTGAACTTAGGTACTCCTGAATCCAGGGCCGGTGCTCTATCCACTGCGTCACCTAGCTGCCTCCCTCTTTGTTAATATTTTGTTCACTATCAGAATCTTTCTTTCCTTCACAGAATCTTCACGTTGCCTTTTTCCACCTAAGTCTGGGCAACAAAGTCACATGCAGAAGCTGAGAATGAACGTGCAAATCCTGCTTGATTTGAATGGTATGATGCTCTCAGGGATCGCCTAGACATCCCTTAGAAAAACCCTGCTGGTAGAGGCAGCCACGGAAGACAGCCCAAAAATGACCAGCCAGCCTCCAGAGGATACTGCCGAGTCCCCCGTCTCCGACGAGCTTGAGTGTAAGATCTGCTATAATCGCTACAACCTGCGGCAGAGGAAACCCAAAGTGCTGGAATGTTGTCACCGCGTGTGTGCCAAATGCCTTTACAAGATCATCGACTTCGGAGACTCCCCTCAGGGCGTCATCGTGTGTCCCTTCTGCAGGTTTGAGACCTGCCTGCCCGATGACGAGGTCAGCAGCCTCCCCGATGACAACAACATCCTCGTGAACTTGACTTGTGGAGGAAAGGGGAAGAAATGCCTGCCGGACAATCCCACGGAGCTGTTGCTGACCCCCAAAAGGCTGGCCTCCCTGGTCAGCCCTTCGCACACTTCCTCCAACTGCCTGGTGATCACCATCATGGAAGTGCAAAGAGAGAGCCCTCAGTCTCTGAGCTCGACCCCCGTGGTGGAGTTTTACAGGCCCACCAGCTTTGACTCTGTGGCTACCGTGTCCCACAACTGGACAGTGTGGAACTGCACCTCTCTGCTCTTCCAGACGTCAATCCGAGTGTTAGTTTGGTTGCTAGGGCTACTGTATTTCAGTTCCTTGCCCTTAGGGATCTACTTGCTGGTCTCTAAGAAAGTCACCCTTGGGGTTGTCTTTGTCAGCCTTGTCCCTTCCAGCCTTGTTATTCTTATGGTGTACGGTTTTTGCCAGTGTGTATGCCATGAATTTTTAGACTGTATGTCATCACCTTCATGAGAGATGCTACAAAAATGAGAAATTTAATATACTTTGCCACGTTTGTAGCTTAGTTCATTTAAATTGTTTTTGATTTTCTTATTTATGATTTGTGTCTCTAACATTAACAGACATTAATTACATCTTATTGGTCTGTTTTCCTCATCAGTATGTATCCTTTGGTTCATTTATAATTTTTTTTCTTAATACTGGTAGTAAAATTTGATACTTCAACTTGGGGGGGTTAGACTTTAGGAAAGAAACAGGTGTGTCCAAGTTAAGCCTTTTTGGAGCTCAAAGGGAACAGTGTCTACCTAGGGAAAGAACAGAGCCTTTCAGGCAACAAATGTTGTCACGCAGACAACTTAACGAGAGTTTGGTACACCCACATTGTGTAGTAGCGGAGAGTTTTGCCACAAGTTAATGATGAACTGGCTTCTCTTTGCATAATCATCACTGTTATGTTTATGGAAGGAGGGCATAAGTTACTCCAAGTGAAACCCTTTTGAAGTGTGCATTCACCCTTGACATTTCTCGTTGCTACCTTCCCTCATTTCATCCACTCCCCTTGTATTTCTTTTCTCTTAATATCACCCTCTTTTATTTAATGTGTAATTCAAGATATCTGTCTCCTCTGTACACTCTTTCTGATCCTGAAGCCCCCAGACCAGGGGGGAGGACCTTAAGGCCACAAATAGCCCTCTGGGTCCTCAAGTGCGGCCTTTTGACTGAGTCCAGGTTTTACAGAACTGGGGTTTTACAGAACTGTAAAACTTGGACTCAGTCAAAGGGCCGCACTTGAGGACCCAGAGGGTCACATGTGGTCCCAAGGATGCAGGTTCCCTGCTCCTGCCCCCGACTCATTCTGCTGAGCCACTCTCTTCCGCTGCAGAGTTCTCTTTGAAAACAATGAGAAATTTGAACCATAAGAGAATTTGGCCATTTGTTCTGAACACGCTATGAGTCCCCTAGTTTTTGAACCTCCACCCTTCTGTGAAAAGTGCTAGAGACCTTTCATTGTTTTGCTTTGGTATATTTGATCTTTTACCCCATTACTCCTTCAGCCTTCATTCCCTGTCGTGAGAAAATAGGTCTCCTTTTCCACTAACTCCTGTAAGGTGAGGAGAAAGGGTGATTTACCAAACAAAATTTGGATCCCCTTGTCTTCCTTGCCCCATGTCCTACCACTCCAATTTCAAAGGACACTGACTTATTTAATTTTCAGCTTTTGGAGATGGAGAATGAGATGCTCCAACTCATTGTTTGTAAAGAGTTGAGAACGTGCATGTTCTGTTTTGCTGTACTGAGTAGCAATAAAGCATGAAGGCTTTAGGTTTACATACACGACTCTGTGGGTAGGCGTGGGGGGAGGGAGCAAGCCACATGCAGAGCTGAAGGCTTTGCTAAGGATGTACCCAAAAGAACTCAGGCCATGGTCATAGAACTGGAGGCAGGCATCTGCGACTGCATTGGTTGCTATCCCAGATGTTCTAAAATCAAAGCAGTCTAATCTATAAAGTGGGATCAAATACTTATGCAAATTATTTCAATGAAAGACATGGGTAAATGTGACCTGAGTGAAGGGACCATTTTCCTTGAGGTGTAGGGGAAGTTGACTATACACTTCTGAGAAGAATTGTTTAGCAGATTTTAGGTTTTAAAGTGCACTATGTCAACCAGAACTACATGTATCCAGTGGAAAAAAGAAACCTTTTTAAAACTCCCTGACGACGATTAGCATTACCTTGTTTGCATATTTTTTTGAAGGAGTATTACTAAAGTTACTACTTATTCTAGTTTGTGATGAAATATTTGTTGTGAGGTGGTAGCTACAGTGGGCCCTATTCCAATTTCTTTAGTCAGCTAAAACAAATGGTTACTTCCAGAATATCTGTATCATTTAATTATATAATTGTTAACTTTCAGAATGTTTATGCCAAGGTCAATTTGGCCAGAAAGAACATGTGGAATCTGGCCTAGTGAATTTATCATGAGGTATATATATAACTAAATAAATTTATGAATCCATAAAATCTAGTTTAGATAAGTGTTCAATGTGAGTGCAACTCCCAGAAAACCATTTGTTCCTGAAGTAAATGTCATGTTTAGAAGATGTTATGTTAGATTTGCATAGTTATAAGGGTTTTAAAAAATGTTTATTTGTTCTGAAGTGTAACATCTAGTAGATAGGTGGAGTAATACATTGATGAGATTCTAGGAAGTTCGGGAAATTTGAACTACTCGTTTAGCTTCTTTGTGTAAATGTGTCAGCAGTGCTCAATTTATGTACCTCATGCACAGTAGTGGTCTTTTTTTTTTTAAAGTTGCCAGTGAATTAACTTTGGTTCAGAAGTAAATTTTACCAATACCTTTAAGACCTATTAAATGGCTAACACTAATAATTTCTCCATGTTGTTAAATGAAAAAGAAAGGACAATACTTCAATATTATGATGACTGTGATACAGTTTTGTTTTGTCATTAAATCATTATTATTCCCAAACTGTATGCTTGTTTTTTGTGATTCAGAGATGAAGTCCTGTGTTTATTTTGAAACTGTATAAAATGTTAGATTGATTCAAGTGTTTGCATTTTAAGAACATCAAGTCCTCCTGTAAATTAGGATGTGTTGAATATGATTTATTAGAAGGTTCTAGTTCTCTTGTGGAAGGAAACCAAGGAAGAGCAGACAGAAAAAACGGTTCTTTTGTTGCTTAATTGCCTTACTTTACTGAGGATGCCAAACAACATAAAAGCCATCTCAGCTGGTGCTGCAAGGTCAGAAGCTAAAATCCTCATTCAGCAAAATAGAACCACACATAGAGAAAACAGACACCTAGGGAGTGTATAATTAGTGTACTCTTTATGTAAATTAGGCTAGGAACATATGCTAATCAATAGCTAATGATTACAGATAGTGACAGTAATATCATATTTCTTGGCATAAAAATAGCAAAAAGTCAGTTAATTGCATTACTTTTAATTGTTTTTAAAGTGCTGGAGTGATAAATTACAGTAAACCCTTAAGCGCTAATGGAAACCCTTACTCAAGTAAACCGCCATTTTAAGACTAAGAAGCAGGGAGAGCTTGTGGGAGAAAAAAAGCCTAAATTTCAACTATCTTTCAGTAAGGTTTGAGAAGAAAGCTAAGAAGAACAAAAAGGGTCTTCTCTCTCTCTCTCTCTCTCTCTTACTCTGTCCTCTTTTGTCTTCTCTTTCCCTCTTTCTCTCTCCTCTCTCCTTTCCTTCTCCTCCTCTTCCTCTTCCTCTTCTTCTTCCTCTTCCTCTTCTTCTTCTTCTTCCTCTTCCTCTTCTTCCTCTTCTTCCTCTTCTTTCTTCTTCTTCTTCTTCTTCTTCTTCTTCTTCTTCTTCTTCTTCTTCTTCTTCTTCTTCTTCTCTGTCTCTCTGTCTGTCTTGCCTTCCCCCCCCCATTTTCAGAACTAAAAGACCACCAAGCAGGAAATACAAGGTTCACTGCCTGGAGGAGATAGTGAAATGCCAAGAGATGAAATAAATAAATTTAAAAAAACCCAATAAATAAACCAACTCTCATTTTGCTTCAGTTTTCTCTCAATAAGAGTGATTTCCAATCTGATAAGAACGGAAGAAACATGATTAAGAGTCAATGGATCCTTAAGATAGTCAAGGAGCTTTCAAGACCGTTCCTAACCCCAATGTGGCTGATTGGTTTTTCAGTCCTGTCTGACTCTCTGTGAGCCCATTTGTAGTTTTCTTGGCAGAAGTGCTGGAGTGGTTTGCCATTTCTTGCTCCAGCTCATTTTACAGATGAGAAAACCGAGACAAACAAGGTTAAATGACTAGCACAGGTTCACACAACTAGTAAGTGTCTGAGGCTAGTTTTGAACTTGGGTCCTTCTGACTCCAGGCCAGATGCTCTATCCACTGGGCCACTGAACTGCTCCCTGCCCTAAAAGAACTGTTAATAAAATTTCTTTGACGGCAAGTTCTTGTCCTTGGTGCTTAGCAAAGTGCCTTGAACTTAGCTGTGTTTAGAAAATATGTTGAATTAAAATAAATGGCTCTAAGTGCTTCATCTTCTGGCCCAAATTAATTAAAACAAGGTGCTGAAAGAATCCAAAGATGTGATTAGTACAGCATGATTGATAATCTTTGAGGAATCATGGCACACACTGAGGTATTAGAAAACCACAAACAAATCTCCCTACATGCAGAATTCTAGAATGGTTTGTAAGCACCTGGAAAAAGAAGGACTCAGCATTCCAAGTTAGTGTTGGTTAACCTCATCTGCTTTTCACTGGACTGGATTTCAGCAAGAGATTTGACAAAGTTTCTTATGATACTCTGGCAGACAAAATGGTGGGAATTCTCTAAGAGAGCCCTATCAAGTCCAGAGCTATGATAAGGCACCTTAAGCTAGGTCTGAGAATTGGATTTCTCCTTTTAATAATAATGACAATAACAATAATAGCTAGCATTTATATGGCACTTTGAGGTTTGCAAAGAGCTTTATAAATATCTCATTTTATCCTCTACAACCATGATGTAGCTGCTATTATTATCTCCATTTTACAGATGAGGAAACTGAGATAGAAAGGTTAAGTCACTTGCCTACAGCCACACAGCTAGTAAATATCTAAGGCTGAATTTGGACTCAGTTCTTTCTGACTCCAGGTCCAACACTCACCACTGGATCACCTAGCTGAGAAAGGTCAAAATTTTTCTCCATAATCCATGAGACTTATCATAAAACTATGACTTATTTTCTATAAAGATTTCTAGATTAAAATGTTTATAAAATAAAAATAATAAAATTATTCTCTCCTTGCAATGGCATGAATAAAAAAAATCTATTATATATGCTGGTGAATGCAAATAGAAAAGAAAATTTCTGCTCTCAAGGAGCTCACATTGTCAAATTGATAAAAAAGATTCTTGCTCTTCCTCCTACATGTTACACTCTAGATGGTGCTTATTCCTCCTCAGGTCATTATTATCAGTGATTCAGACTAGGTTATGGGGGACATGTTTACCACATTTGCAGTTAAAACAAAGCAGAGAAGCATCAAGCCTACTATTTCCTTCCCTCTGGTCACAGGAGAGATATCCTACCCCTCACTAAAGCTAATTCTTCTTCTTGTGTTGTTGATCCCATTTCTTTGTGTAAATGAATGAATGAATGAAAATGAGCACCATGTACCAAGCACTATGCTAAGTGCTGGTGACCTAAATACAAAAAAAGCATAATGGCCCTTCTTCTCAAAGAGCTTACATTCTGATAGGGGAGACCGTACATGTAGGGGAATGGTGGCCGGGGAAGGGAGTTATAGTCTGGAGAGTCGAAAATGATGAAAAGAACGATATGGCATTTTGTTGGTACACCCTTTCCAGAGGCAGTGATTGTATTGATTTGATCACAGAGTAAGAGCTAGAAAAAGAGGGAGTAGGGTGAAGATGAAGATGCATTGTCCCAGGGAATGTGGAACCCAGTGACTTACCTCGCTCTAGCAGTCAGCTCTTCTGCAGAAATTCATCTTCTTCCTCTTTGATCATTCCCCTCCTTCTCTTGACTCTGATGCTAGTTCATGTCTTTCATTTCCATCACTGCTAAATTCCTTGAAAACTTTCTTTACTTGCTGCCTCCACATCTTAACTATTCATTGTCTTCTCTACTCTCAATGACATGAATTTAAAAAAAATTATATACTACCTACGCTGGTGAATGCAAATAGAAAAGAAAGTTTCTGCTTTCAAGGAGCTCACATTGTAATGAGGAGACAACATAGATAGTAGGTTTCAGCTGTTAGTCAGATGGTAAGGCCCAGGGGCCCTTAGGATACAGGGGTGAGGCAGATGGGTGGTAGTGCCTCTTCTTTCTTGTCATTTCCATTACTAAAACCGTATCTCTTTCTGGTGTTTTAACTATTTAACAATGTGAAGGACTTCAGTGGTGAGAAGTGTTTTGTATCTTCATAGGAGCTGAGGAGGCAGGGCTGCATTCCTCTTCAGAGGCAGTTGCCAGGTCCTAACTATTTCTGATTTGCTTCCCTGGATGATGTTCTCTGGGTTGGGGCTAGAGGCAGGGCTAAGTGTCTGGGGCAGGGTGCTGCTTTTCTACCTACTCAATACCCTCTCTCCTCTTGACTTCAGAGACAACATACTCATGGTTCTTCTACCTCTTCTTTAATAGACCCTTCTTTGTCTTGTCTTCTTGCCAATCAGCTAATGTAGTTTTTGTCAACCGCTTTATCTGTTTCTCTTGTCTACTCTCACATCTGGCGATCTTAGTGATCCTCATAGTGTCAATGATGCAAATGACTCCCAATTCTCTATCTCATGTTGTCCTGAGCTCCAAGACCATATCTCCAGCTGCCTACAGAAATCCACTTATCCCTCTCACTAGCACATCCAACGAGTGTCTCTAAAGGAAAGGTTATCATCCTTACCCCTAAATCTAGTCCTCCTTCTGACTTCAGTATTCCTATTAGGGTCCCCTCTTAGTCTCCAATACTCAAAACTTTTTTTTTCTGACTCTTCTCTATCCCTCATTTCTCATATCAATCAGTTAATATTTTTAAAGGGCCTACTATGTTGCCAGGCACTATGCTAAGTGCTGAGTATGTCAGAAGAGGCAAAAGACACTTTCTGCCCTCAAGGAACTTGCAATCTAATGGGAGAGATAACATGCAAACCAATATATACAAAGCAAGCTATATGCAGGATAAATAGGAAATAATTAACAGAGGGAAGGTGCTGGAATTAAGAGGGGTTGGGGAAAGCCTCATCTAGAAGGTGGAATTTTAGCACTGTCCCCTCTTCCTATTCCCACTTCCACCACTCTCATCATCACCTGCATGGGCTATTATATTTGCTTCATAACAAGTATTTTCTATCTCTTCCCTTTCCAGTTCATCCTTCACAAGAATGCCAAATTAGATCTGGCTCTGTCTTTATACCAAGAAATCTTCAGCAGCTTCTATTACCTATTGTGTAAAGTTCAAACTCCATTACCTGGCATTCAAGGCTTTTAACAATCTGATGCCAACCCTACTCATGTATCCTTATCTCATATTCTTTCTAGGCATTCTATGCTCTAGCAAAATTCAATTACCCTTTATGCTCCAAACAATCCTAACATTGTAGCTATCTCTCTACTTTGGCCCATGCTATTCTCAATGATTGAAAAGGCCTGTCTTTACCTCTTGACTGTCTACCCATACTGTAAAGCGTAACTCAAACAGAGTCCCTGTCTCCACCCCCAATTTCCATCAGCAAGGACTTTCTTCTTTATACCTTACATACCATTACATTTTGCCTCTTTGTAATGTATCTCATAACATTGTATGTTAATCTGTTTGTATCTTATCTGCCTACTATAAGGTAGGAAATTTATTTTAGTTAAACCTTACATTTTACCCTCTTCCTCCAACATGGTGCACTGCACTGAGGAGGCAGCTGATATTTATTTGATGAATGAATGAATGAAAGAATGAATGAAAATGGCCCGAACATTTGAT